AGAAGAAGGTAAGTGCCTTGTTTGTACCTGAATTTCTGAGAGTTAGAAAGTGGGATCTGAGGAAGTTTTGAAGTATGGGTGGGCTGCCCAAATAGCACACGTTTGTGTGAAGGTGGTAAATCACTCCCAAGACAATGTTTGCACAGATAACATTGCTTTGGTGGTGTTTGCTGCTGTTCTTTTCTGCCCCCTAGGCTGGAGCTGTGTGGTAGATGATGAGCAGACGTGGTAAGGAGAGGAACCCAGCTCCAGGGAGCACAAAATCTGGGATGAATGTGACACATACTAGAGGTGGTCTCTAAACCACAGTTCATCCTCCCTCCATAGTCAAAAGAGAGAGAGGTCTCTCACATTTGAGAAGCCTGGGCTCAGACACTTGTCTGCACTTCAGCTATTTACTTTTGGACCTCTCAGGGCCCTGGCAGACCGGTCACCTTGGAGTTTAGGGTGTAATTTGTCTGACCAGATGTTGGTCTGTGCCTTAGGATGGGACTGCCAGGAGCCTGGACATGAGTGCAGAGCACATGGCTCAGGTGGAGAACAACAGTCCTTCCCCCTGGGTGAGGTGAATCCCCCTCCAGAGTAATACCTCAAACAGATGGGGACAAATCAGTGCACAGTGCTGGTGCTCAGCCCTCCTGGAAAACATGCCCACACTGATCTGAGAAAGCTCCAGAAATGGAGTCAATATAAAATAGCTGTTCCAGGGAACTGTATCTTTCCCTGGCTTTGAATAGGTCTAACTGCAAACCAAGCTGAACTTCCCCGGGCAGGAGCTCAGTCACTTCAGCCACCCCTTCCCTCCCACCCCCCATTTGTCTTCCTGACACTACAATCACTGTCTCTCCTGTAGCTCTCCAAGGAAGTCTCTGGGGGTCACCACAACGAATATTACCAGGAATATGAATACCCAGACGTGAGCACCACACAGGATAAGACACCAGAAAACGGCAGCGTCCTGTCGGAGACTGGTGTGCTGGGGCAGCCAGCACCTCCCCTGCCCTCCCGCAATGCAGGGGAAACTGAGAGTCTCTCAAGGGCTTCTACAGCTTCCAGCACCATCTCCAACCAGGGAGAGAAAGAGGAAGAAGTGGAAGAAGAGACCGGACAGGAGAAAGAGGTGAAGTCCATCCTCAAGACAGACAGGCACGTGGGAGATGATGGCTACAAAGCTGTGTGGTTTAAGACCGATGTGGATCCAGAGGCTGGAGAGAGGGTTGAAGTGATTGAGAACAATGCAGCAGCAGCAGATGATGATGATGACAGTGACCAAGATCTGCAGAAGAATGAGGAAGAGGAAGAAGATTCTGACCTGGATGATCAGCACAGAGGGCTGGGACTGTCCTTTGCCTCAGAGAGCTCCTCACTCCCAGCTGCAGAGGAGACAGTCAGTGTGTCTTATATGGATGCAGTGACAGGAGAAGAGTCTGAATTATAATGGAAGTGGGCCTACATCCCCCTCAAAATGGGGGAATCTCAGCAGCTTTGCTGGCTTGAAGTCCATCTTTCTGCTCAGGGAGCAAACTGGAATGCAGAGGATGAGGTTGCCTGCCCTGCCTGTCTGAATGCAGCAAACAAGGCCAGAGGAGATTACAGCTAATTTACCCCTTTAGTGAGACCTTGGAACGTCATTTAAGATTCGAGGGGGAGAATATGTTTCATTCCACTTCCTGCCTGTTTCCCTGGGCCCCTTTACATCACCTTTCCCAAACTGGCTGCAGGTACAGCAGAGCTGTACCTGAACTGACCTGGCAGCCCAGGTCTGACTTTAGCCCAGCTCAGGGAGCAGTTTGGTTACACAGCCCAGTGTTCATCTCCTTGGTGGGTGAATAAGCCAGCAGTGAGTGCTTGGCTGTTCCCTTCAGGGTGTTACAGTTTAGTGTCAGCAAGTCCCCCTGAGCATACAGTTGCTCATGTGACTGTATCCAGGAGCTCACTTCAGGGCCTGGCTCTGCTCTGCGCTCCAGCACAGGCAGCTGGAATGTGCCACCACAGTCCTCATCCTGCCACCAGCCAGGAGGTTCTACACTCAGGAGCTGGTGTTTCCTCTATCATTGGTTAACAAGCACCAATCACTTGCTCTTTACTGAAGGACTTAGTCATCAATTTTCTATGCCATTATCCCACTCATTGTGCACTATTTTAACTGTCTATCTCCTATCTGTCAGGGAAAAGAGCTCCTGAGATATTGCCTTCAGTTATGGCCCTGCCAAGTCAGCACTGTGTTTCCAGGCAGTAGGGGGAGGAAGGTGTTTGATGCTCCTGTCCCAGTTTGCACCTCCCATCGACCCATCTCTTCCCCCAGCTGGCAGTCAAAGGTTGAGCTGGTCTCCACTGGCATCTTCTGATCATCAGCACAAAATTTATACTGCTCCTGGTTTTCTCACTTTGGGGCTCACTGCAGAGCAGACGTGGGTTGTGGAGCGTTTAACTCCCAGTAAAAACTCGAGACTGTCCAAGGCAGGGATGCAGCAGGAGGAACTTGGGTCTCTGGTGTTTGTCTCATTTTCTCAGTTTAGGATTGCAACAAAGTAAGTGTCATGCTAGAGGAGCAAAACCAATAAATAATCCTGCCTTTTTCCTACAAACCAATCTCCACTTTGCAGCCATTATCCAGATAAACCTGAGAGAGAGAGAGAGAGAAACCAAAGGATGGCTGCTGGGATCCTCAGGTACTCCAGAGCACAAAGGATTTGCAAGGAGGCTTTTATCCTCTAGGCCCATACTTTATTCCCATCCATGTCCCTGTCCCAGTGTTCAGTGCTCAGTTCTGCTCTCCTGAGAGCTGCCCTGGCTGTGTGGCCTTCAGGAGCTGCACTTGTGCTGCAGGTGGAGACGTGGGAAGCTTTGATCTCTCCTGCAGCCAAGCTGTTTGCCCAGTGTGGTTTGGCTGCTAATGGAGGGCAGGGAGTGTGCCCTGTGTTTGCCGTGTAAACAAGGCTCCTCCTGCTGCTCTGGGTTTTCTCCAGTAAGCATTTCCCACGGGACTGGGAGAGCTCTCCAGCAGCTCCTGATGGCAGCCCACCACCCTCGGGCACAGCGAGGGCCAGGGTGAGCCCAGCCTGCTGTCCCTGGTGCTGCTCCTGGGAGGACTGTGAGGGGTGGGAGAGGCTGGAGTGTCCCTCATGGCTGTGCCGTGTGTGCTCATTCCTGTCTGTCAGGACACTGTTGTCTGTCTCTCTGGGTTTCTGGCACAGTGATTGATGAGGTCCCTGGATCTGCAGTCTGTGCTCAGCTCCCCCTTCCCTCCCTGGGGTGCTCCCTGTGCTGTTGGAATCAAACTGGTCCCACCAAACCAGGCTTTGTTTTCCTCCAATCCTCATCAGTACACACAGCCACGGGGCTTGGTGTTTTTCAGGGTTATGCTTGTTTAATTTCCAGGGAGGTGATGTTTGGTAAATACTGTGTCTGTGGAAGTGGTGGTGGTTGTTGTGAGGAGAACTAATAAAACTTGGCAGCAGGCAGAGCTCAGCTTCCTCCAGCTATTGCCTTAAAGCCTCCAGATCCTGTTCTTCACTCTTGCCTTTCTGAAAGAAAAAAAAAGAATAAAAAAGTGAAAGGAACAAGAAGAAAATGTAAACTTTTCAGTTCAAGTCCATCTGAGTTTACCCTCCATCTGGTTGGATTTGTTTGTCTGCTGAGGCTGGGAATGTTGACAAACTTTTTGCATTATTGTACAGCAATCATGTTCATTTATAAACATCTGCGTGGGAAAGAAAAATGTACCAATAGAAATGTTTTTAGAAAATTGGATCAGCTTAAGTGTTTTCTGATGGCAAATAAACACCTAAGTACCTTGAAAAGCTCATCCTTGCACTCCAAAGACACTCAAATGCTTTTGTAAGTTTAACTCTACAGGTAGATTTAAGAAATCTCTTTCACCCTCTCCCAAATCAAGCTCTGATTTTTATTTCTGTACCAGCTTAGAATGATATTTGTTTAGTGTTTGTAATGCAGAGCTATAAAAAGTCAGTGAACAAATCTGCAGGTGAATTCCAGCAGTTCCAGTGTGGCAGTGGGAGGTGTGGGTTTGGGATTTTACATCTGCCAAGGAAGAGGATGCTCGTGGCTTTCCCAAGCCTGGAGCACCCTCTCCTGGAATAACACCCCTGGGAAGTGCCCATTTCACCTTCCCTTTGGCCTCTACAAGGAGAAGAAGCCCCGTCCCTTCTCAGCTGTCAGGGGAAACTCTAAACCTGAATTGGAAAAAAATCAAGTAAATACAGACATTTCACCTGCAGGAAGTAACAGAAATAAACAAAAAAATCACCAGGTGTCTGAAAATTCCTTTCTGCTCACATTCTGTCCCCATTTAGAACTGAATAACCCCATGGATTTCATCAAGTCTCATTGGCACAACTGACAGCAAATGCACATTTTTGCCTTTTTGACTCCCAAGAAAAAAATGCTTTTGGTACCTGGCAGAGTGCAGGGGACACTTGTTGGTTTGGTTTTGAAGGGATGGAAGAGAACTGGAGAGCTTTCTCTTTGTGTGTGGGAGAGCAGAACGATCTCCCTTTTATCTGAGTCAATAATGAACCCTGATCTCTTCAGTCACATCATCCGGAGAGATTATCCTTCTTCTCAAAGAACAACTTCCAAATGATAAATAGTCAGCCATAAAAGACCTGTTTTAACCTGATTTTTCTTGGATATTGAGTGACCTTAGCTCCAAAATGGATTCCTTTTCCCTCAAAAAAGAAGTCAATTCAATTTTATTCCAGTTTGTACCTTTTATTTTTTCATTAGTTGGTTGCGAAGTCCTCCTAAAAATAAAACAGACCTGAGCAGTAAATGAATACTTAAAGAAACAGGATCAACTCCATCATATGGGCTTCAAGCAATATATGACCTTCCCTTTTTATAAATAGATATTTTTTCCAATCAATAACAACACAAGAGTCCACCAGACATTGAAAGGAACAGATTTAGAACTGAAGCCACAACTGAGGCCGAGGAAATGACCCCGTAGTAACACCTGGATAGAACTCGTATTCCTGTGCTCCTTTTGCAGAGAGGTTGCTGTAATGAAGGACTGAGGTTGGAATTCTGGTTTTCACCTTGATTTTGTATAAGTTGAGATAAAGACTTGTAGGATAAGTCATAATGAAAGAGCTGAAAAATTTAAGACACCACATTATACTCAATGTTATGCTGGGATTTATATATCTTTGTGCATACATTCTGCATTTTATTGTAGAATAAGTGTGTTAACTCTTCAGGTATAAAAGTAACAGATTTTTTAGGGAGATATAAGGCCATATGTCCCTTTTAGGTATGTCATTAATTTTTTGCCTATGTAGTGAAGAAGAAACCACCCATCAACACCATGATCCAAGTTTGTCTCATCTGGGAGTACGGAATCTCCATAACCCACAGGCATCACAAATGGCTTCAGAGTCTGGGAGTTAAGGTCAGTTACAAAGAAAAAAAATCACTTTTTACTCATCAAATAGTCAATTTTTTTTGTGACAAGTATTTCTGTTCTTGATCACCTTTCCAGTAATAGCAGGCAGCTAATCTATATTACTCACAGGATATTCCTGTCCAAGTCTAGGGAAATTTTTTTTGCAGCTGCCACATATGTCAGTTTTTGCAGATCTAGAATGCAGAAGTGAGCATGACATCAGTATTTTCAACACCCTGAAGATGTTGGATTTTATTAAGATTTCAACTTTCACTTAAAGAGAGATGAACGACCAGTCCCAACACATTCAGTTCCCTACAGGAACACAAGGTGATGCTGAAGAACAACTTGAAACTAGTGTAGGGAGCTGTTAAAGCGCTTTCCCCCCACTCCCCCCCCAGTGAGGTTGTTAAACCTGAGTTTTTGCCTGTACCACGTAAATAAGGGCTGGAAAAATTTGATTTCACTGGGGCAGTCACAGCTTCTCTGGACAACCTGTGGCAGGGCAGGGCCTCACCCCCCGCACGTGGAGAAATTCCTTCCCAATATCCCATCTAAACTCACCCTCTGGCAATGGGAAGCCATAATAATAAGATTAATTCTGAGGGAACAAATTATAAAACTATTTATTTCTCCCTGACGGAGTCACCTGAAGGGAAACTACAACTCCCGTGATGCCCCGCGGCGGCGTCGCGGAAATGAACCAATCAGGTGAGGGGGGCGCCGGGAGCGGCCAATGGGGAGAAGGCGGACGTTTGAATTTCGGGGCGGGCTGAGGCGGCGCTGCCGTTACTGCGCGAGGCTGAGGGGCGTGAGGGGCGCGCGGAGCCGAAAGGTACGCGAGCCTCAGGGGACGGAGGGGCCCGGGACTGTGAGGGGGGCGCGGGGCCGAGGGCCGACTGTGAGAGGGGCTGAGGAGTGTGAGGTGCGCGGGCTGAGGCGCCGAGGGGTGCGTGGGGGCTGTGAGGGGCTGAGGGGAGGGGCGCGCGCGGAGCCGTGAGGGGCTGAGGGGCGCGCGGGGCTGCGAGAGGCTGAGGGGTACGGGGAGCTGTGAGGGGCGAGAGGGGCGCGGAGCCGTGAGGGATGAGAGGTGCGCGGGGCCGTGAGGGATGAGAGGTGCGCGGGGCCGTGAGGAGCTGAGGGGTGAATGGGGCTGAGGGGCGCGCGGAGCCGTGAGGGGCGAGAGGTACCCGGAGCCCTGAGGGAGCGCGCGGAGCTGCGGGCTGAGACCTCAGTTCCGAGCTCTCATTCACAGAATCTGTTTTGCTTTGTAAATTACCTGTTGGGGATAGTAAGTCGGGAAAAAATACGGCTGCGGACCACAACGGGATATTCGCGGGGAAGAACTTGGCAGAGCGCAAGGTCCCCAGCTAATCGAGCAAAACATTCGGTCAGTGCTGTTACTCTGCGCTCTGCGGCAGAGTGCTGTAGGTAATCTGGTAGCGCAGGGATTTTGCAGCAGTTTTTTTCCAGAACATCATCTGAGCGGCTTGCCCTGCAAACGTCGCCTGCCAGAGGTTCTTCATTGTTAACACTGCCTTTAGTTTCATGTAATTCCCACGGGAGGGAGTTAAAACCCGAAGCCCCTCTAAAAGCTGGGCATCTGAACGGTGTGTTTTGACTGCGCAGTAAATTTGGCGTGAATGGGCTGCTGAAGGGCGGGCCTGCGGAGTTTCGGGTCTGTGTCCTGAGAACGCGTGACGATGGTGTTGTTGTTGATGTTGTTGTTGTTGTTGATGTTGTTGTTGATGTTGTTGTTGTTGTTGTGAGCGCAGGACCGAAGGAGCCGCGGTCATGTCCCAGGAGTGCGGCGATGAGTGGGAGCTGAGCAAGGAGAACGTGCAGCCCCTCAGGCAGGGGCGGGTGATGTCCAGCTTGCAGGAGGCGCTGGCTCAGCAGGACTCCTCCAGCCACACCGCTGTGCAGCTCAAAAAACAGTGGGTGATGTTATAACACCTCCTTCCCCCTTACATTCCTCCCTCCTCCTCATTTTTCTACGTCTTACTCAACCGTACTGATCTCCTAAGCGTTAAAAAAAGGCATAAAAGATGTTTAGTAGCTGATGTCTGTGCTACTGTCACACTCCAGGTGTTTAGAACTACTCGCTGTAGGTGCTGTGTGGTACAGACTGCAACTTTCAGGTTTGCAGGGGAGCATTTAAACAGCCAACACCAGGGAGATTTGGTTGTACTTTTAACTATAATAGTTACAGCTTGGAAAAAATATTTCCAGTGACACACATGTACTTATTGGATGGATAATATTGTCTTTTAGAGAATTTGAATCAGAAATCCGATTTTACTCAGGAGATGACCCTCTGGATGTGTGGGACCGGTAAGTTTCCCTTTTTTTTTTTTTTTTTTTTCAGAAAAAGAGTAGAAAGGTCAGATATCCTTGGAAAAGCAAGGGAAAAGCATTCTAATTTAGAAACTCATTCCAAGTTAAATTCTATAATAGTTTTTGAATAATGTGTTTCAATATTATGCCTATTTTATTTTTTTTTCTAAATCCCCTTAGATTGTACAGAAACTTACTCAGAACTGACTTCCTCTGAACATCTTCCATCTGTAGGTACATCAAGTGGACAGAGCAGACCTTCCCCCAGGGTGGGAAAGATGGAAATCTTGCAGCAGTTTTGGAAAGGGCAGTGAAAGCCCTCAATGAGCAGCAGCAATACTACAAAGATCCTCGTTATCTTAATCTCTGGCTCAAGTTTGTGAGTATTTTCTTAATCCCTCTTGGGTCTGCTTTTCCCGGGGACTTGTCATGTCAGCTGCACAAAGCTAAGCTGATTTTTGTGGCAGCAGAGGCAAAGGATGTTGTACAACAGGTGCAATATTAGAAGTATCCCTCTGCAAAGATGTTACTTTTGAATTTCACTTATTGTTTTTGATGGGATCTTGAGACCTTTTTTAGAGTTGTCATCTTTGGACAGCTGCAGACTCCAGAAGTTTTGTTTTGGAAAAGCTGGTTTGACTAAGTAGAGCTCAAATAATAATTTAAAGAGAAAGGGAGGAGATTTAAAGATATATTTTAGGTGTTATATCTGCCCTACCAGTTATTTTAGCTTCTATTGTCTTGTATCCACATCCTGTATTTGAGCCAAACCAAGCTGAGCATGTTCTGGTCCTTCCCTGTCTCTCCATTGCTGTAATTTTTGTTGTTCTCATCTTTCTAAAGCAGCTTTTCTCCAGGTTTAGCTTCCTGAGCTGATTTACCAGTTCCAAAACTGGCAAGGAATGTGCTGTACTTTATCTAAAGCTGAAATAACTGTTCTCAGGAATGCTAATATGACACAGGTCAATCACTGAATTACCTCAGATTAAAAAAAATAAAAAATCTAGGAAATGGTTGCATGTCCTGGCCTTAGAGCTGCTGCTCTCAGACTTGTATTGAACTCAGGGGGCTCTTGCTGGAGGCATCAGGATGCAGATTTCTGAGCTGGACTCTTTGCAGTCCAGTGGCATTACTGACCTGGGCTCGTTTCAGGGCAATTGCTGTCACGAGCCCTTGGACCTGTACAGTTACCTGTGCAGCCAGGAGATTGGCACCACCCTGGCACTGCTCTACATCACCTGGGCAGAGGCACTGGAGGCCAGAGGGAACTTCAGGAAAGCAGATCTGATATTCCAGGAAGGGCTTCAGCGCAAGGCTGAGCCTTTGGACAAACTCCAGTCCCATCACAGGTGAGGGAACAACTTGCTCTGAGGTGCTTCCCCGGGTACCTGCTAGAAGGTTGTGCTGACTTGTCCCATGTTTTTCTAGGCAGTTTCAGGCCCGCGTTTCTCGGCAGGCACTGCTGGCACTCGAGGAAAGTCCAGATGGAAAAGATGCAGGTCTGCTGGAAATTGCGGAGCCTCAGAGAAGCTCATTGGCAGATCTCAAAGGCAGGGGGAAGAAAAAAGTGAGAGCGCCCATTAGTCGTGTGGGAGATGCAGTTAAAGGTACATTCAAGAGCTGAAACCACCTGTTATTGGAAGAGTTGCATCTTTTTGTTGTGGACTTTGCAATTGAATGCGATCGTTAAAGGTTAATTTGCATAAATCTTCTTGCTTATAGCCACGAACCCGAACAGAAGCGTCCAGCCTCAGACTTCTCTGCAGCTTTCAAATACTCCGGGTTTTGCTGTGTTTGATGAAAATTCAGCCTCTGTAGAGGAGATTCCCACCCTTACAGCACAGTCATGGACAGCACCTCCAGCTCCCAGGGCCAAGGAGAATGAACTCAGTGCAGGACCTTGGAACTCTGGCAGGGTAAGGAGTCTCCAAACAGACTGGGAAAAGAGAGGAAGGTGTGTGTAAGCTGATGACCTCTGATCCCTGAGACAAAGGTCATGTCTTTCTCCCTTGCCTGGGGTTTGTGTCTATTAGTAAATACAGATTTTATAACGGAATCCCAGCATCCCAGAACGGTTTGGGATGGAAAGGACCTTACAGCCCATCCAGTCCCACCCCCACCATGGGCAGGGGCACCTTCCACCAGCCCAGGTTGCTCCAAGCCCCGTCCAACCTGGCCTTGGACACTTCCAGGGATGGGGCAGCCACAGCTTCTCTGGGCAACCTGTGCCAGGGTCTCAGCATCCTCACAGGGTGAGATATTCCTTCCCAATATCTCATCCAAACCCTCCTTCCTTGGGCTGAAAGCCATTCCCCCTTGTCCTGTCACTCCAGGCCCCTGTGAACAGTCCCTCTCCTTCCGAAGACTCTCTGGCTATGCATAACCTATTCAAGTTTAGCAAGCTGAAATTACTAGAAGAGGTTTAAAAAACTCTCTGGAATTATTATATCGAGAAATTATATTTCTTGCAAATTAGAAAAATTAGTAGAGGTGGCCTGCCAAGCTGTTTGGAGGTCAGAAAAGGAATGTGAGAGGGATTCTCTGAGAAGGAAGAGTAAGAGTCAAATTATATTGTAAAATACCACCTGAAGGAAGAACCTGTTGCCTGCCTTACAGAAATAAGGCATGTGCAGCATTCTGCACGTCTGTTTTGAAGTGCTCGTGAGGAAAACAGCAGAGTGGAGATCAAAAGAATTGCAGAACTGCTGTATCAGTGGGATATTTATCCTGACAGTGGGATGACAGAAAGTAGGTTCCAGCAGTTTAAACTAATGCAGGAGACAGGAAAAGAAAGAGCTGTGCTCAGGTGTTTCAGCTCTTCTAGGGAAGAGATCCAGGACATTATCTGAAGGGAATTAACCCTGCAAAATGAAGTTTGTTGTTAGGTGCTCAGATAACCCCCAGTGTTCCCCTGTTCTTTGTAGCTTCGAGAGGAAGAATAGAAAGTAATCAGGTGATAAAAATATTTTAGGTTTCTCAGTATAGAAGTTGTTACAAATGAAGCTTAGGAACAAAAACTAGGATGAGGGGAGGTATGCAAATAGGCTGAAATTCAGGGGAGCTCCAGGAATATTACTCCCAGATACAAAGCAATTTGATTAAATGAATGGAAAAGTTCAGTAAATCACAGGTTTAATTTAGCTTGAGAAGAATGAGGAGGAATTATTAATGCAGAACTTCTTTTATCAGTTGCTTAGGGCTGCTGAACACATTCATTCTGGTCTCCAAATGCTTCTGTATATCTTTTAATGTCTGGCCTTAGAATTCTCTCTGTTCTCCCCTTAATGAAATTTGTTAGATTTAATTAAAAAAATAAAATAAAATATCCTGCTACGAGAAGAAGAGTTGAGGATGTTTAATTCCCCTTCACTCAAGGGTAGAGGAGGAATAACCTTTGGTGAAGGCTTTGAGATGATAAAACCTGCACAGAGGAAAGAAGCTTCTCTAATTGCTGGTGTGAAGATGGCTGAGTAAACAGTTTGGGAAACTTGTTGTGCTGAAGGGTCACAGGGAGTTCAGATCAGCAGATGAGAGGAGTGTGTTGTCAGACTAAACTCTGTTCTCTGAAATACTGGACCTCAGAAACAGTTAAGGGATTTTTGTGGTGTTGGAATGGCCTCTGGAAGGAAAATTTTGAAACCCCTAAGGCTGAAGGTCCTTGGCTGACAGGAGAAGGAATATTATAATACAACTGGGACAATCTTAGCTGGAAAATGAGCACTGAAGCATTTGTGGAAAACAGGCAAAGAGAAACTGGAATACCCACCTTGACCAGAATAACATTCCCTCTCTCTCTATATATATGTGTACATATAATATTCCCTCAGAATAACAGAAACTGGCATGGTGAGGTCACATGGGAGGAGTGTCTGGCTTTTTAGGTGCCAGTGTTCAGCTGATGGGTTGTAACTATTTATGTCTCAGAACGGCAAGAATGTTGGAAAAGTCTGTTAGGTTTAATTCTTTTCTATAACAAACCCTCCAAAGGAGCAGAACAGCAGGGAGAGGGAGCTGCAGAGCCCCGGGAGGTGTGGAGTGCCCAGATGAAGGTTGCAGCTGTTTGTTAACGGTGCCTTTCCTCCCTCAGCGTCCTCGCAGCGCCTCCAACCCCGGCCCGGCAGTGCCCGGCCCCCTGCCCAGCTTCACCCCCTACGTGGACGAGTCAGCTCAGCCTCAGATGATGTGAGTCTTGAGCTGGAGATGGGAACTGCCTTTGGAACTCTAAAAGCTCTTTCCTAAAATTCTGACTTGTTTTGCCAAGTAGTCAAGCCTCTAGAGAGCTACAAGAATTTAAAAATCCGTCAGCCTGGAAGCAATCAGTGCTGCAGCTTGATGGCAGAGGCTCCAGCAGAGGTTGCATAAGGACATGGGAAGTGCTCAGCCAGCACTGCTCATGATGTGGGAGCCGCTGTCATATTTATATGTGCTAATTAGTCTAATAGCTTATCTCAGTGTGTTTGCACAAACCCACAGGTCCCTGTCTTAGGGTGCCCTTTGCTGTGGAACAGCCTCAAATTGAGGCAGACTTAGGGCTGTTTTTCTGTCTTGGGAGCTCTGTGCTCAGCATATCTGGAGTTTTATTCTGAAACAAGCTATCAGAGTTGCCATGACTACAGTGTTGCTTAGGTCGTGGAGGAGTGAGTATGCTGCTTTGCCTGAAATTACCTTCCTGCTTGTGCAGTCTCCCTGAAATTCTAATAAATCCCAGGAGATGGGGTGGTTTTGTTAGAGCAGAGGACTTTTTTTCGCAAAGTTGCTCTACCTTTCTGTGGCTAATGATGGCCAGGGAATACACAGGCTCTTCCTGAGAGAGAAGTGGAAGAGACAATTTGGTATTGCAGTTTCCACAGCTCTGAATTGCACAGAACTGAGGACTGCTGAGAGGTGGTGAACAGCATGGATTTTTCCTGTGGGTTTTGTATGTTCCCTGTGCACTGCAGAATAGCTCTGACCAAGGACATGCCATAGTTGGGTTGAAGAATCTGTAAAAAAATAAATTTCTGTTTAAACTGTTTCTTGCTCCTGAAAGTCAGTGATACCACAGAATTAAATCTCTTGGCATGCTGGTCTCTGAGATGAAGATTTGTTACTTACTTTAGCTCTTTATCCCAGGGAGAGGGAAGGAGTGGGTGGCACTGAACATTATGTAAATTAGCTCTAAGCAACTCAGGCAGAGACTTCGTATGCAGTTTTATATAATGCAGCTGAATGTTTAAAAGTAGATATTTTTCTTTTCTGCCTTTGAGTCCATTTCCTCATGATACCATGGTCACACTAAGTCATGTCTGAAAGTGTTGTGTTGAAACTGTGTGAACATGATGCAAATCATGCCCCCAGCTGTCATCCAGAGGTCTGGGCAGAAGGACCCTGTAGTGATGTTGGTAATGAGCCTCCACATTCCCCAAAAAAGGCTTTAAAAACCCACACGTGAGAAGCACCTCTTTGCCTCCTGATCTCCCATATGGTGAAAGGGCTGGGAGTCCCTTCACACCCAACCAAAATGGATGTCTTGGAGCTGTGCACAGGGCTTTCTTTGGATCTGCTCACCCAGACCACAGCTAACCCAGTTTTTAAGGTCAGTTGTTCAGATCATCTTTTACTGAGGCACAGCTGAGTCAGTCCAGCTGGAGTCAGTTGGAATGCTGCTGCCTGTAAAGCTGTAAAGTGTTGGTTCCTCTCTCCTGACATTACTGGGTAGTGCTTTGAGAAAGCCCTTTCACGCTAAGGAATTGTGACTGGACCTTATTAACTGTTTGGGATTGATTATTGTTTGTTTTGGTTTCTTTATTTATTACCCCCTTTGGAGTTGTATGCTGGCCTTTCATCTGCTGCCATTCCAGTTTTCTGGTTTATTTTTTCTAACAACGGACCATAAGGTCTTTACACTGTTCCAGACTCTGAAATCAGCCCTGTTGCCTCCTGTGCCTGCTTTTCTGTGCTACACTGAAGCACCAGAGAAGCCCAGTAACAAATTGCCGGTTTTCCAGGACTCCGTGCAAAATCGAGCCCAGCATAAACCGCGTGTTGAGCGCTCGCAAACCTGAGAAGGAGGACCCGCTGCAGCGAGTGCAGCACCATCAGCAGGACACTCAGGAGCAGAGGGAGGTGGTGATGTACTGCAAGGACAAGGTTTATGCTGGAGTCGATGAATTCTCTTTGGAAGAGATTCGAGCTGAAATCTACAGGAAGAAAGCGAAAAAGAAAACCGAAGGTGTGTTTCAAAATGGGCTGAAATAAGTAAGGCTTTCAGAGATGGGATCATAACATTATGTTTGCTGCTCTCTGTTATTGCAGCTGCTTTTCTTTTTCTGCTGGAAGAGTTATTTAACTGCTCTGAGGTACACAGACAGCTGACATGTCTGACAGCTTTGCATTCAAGCTGTGGAACAGGGAAAGACCCCTTTACAAATAATTTAGGCTTTAGCCACCAACTGTATGTTAAATATGCATTGGGCCTTACAAGCTTTTCTTCCTTAGAGGAAATGCAAGCCATAGCACAGAAGAAGGAAGAAATACAAAGGCAAATTGAGGAGCTGGAGAAGAAATTGAAAGAAGATGACAAGCAGCAACAACCACGTGAACAGGTATTGTCCTCACTTAACTGTTCTTTTACAAAAAGCTGCTTACGTGTGTCTGTAACAGTTGTAGGATTACTAAAATCTCCTGTGAAAGTTATACAGGGTTGCAAAGAGTAAAATTCTGTAACTACACTATGCAATAAAAATGGACTTTGTTTCATGACAGTAAACTAAGTACTAATAAAAATGGCTAAAGACAACTAATGACCCACCCAGGGTTATCATAGTAATAGTTTTGGAACCTTTTTTCATGGCTTGTGATTCCATCCCTGTAGAACCAAAACACGGTTTTGTTTCTCTAGGCAGCAGAGATAAGGGAAGCTTTGGCACCTTTGGGCCTGCAAGGATTTACTTCTTCCAGTGCAACAGAAGCTGGGGAGAAGCAGCTTCAGTGGCAAAGGTAATAGAGGGTTTTCTTTGCCAGCAACGAGAAGGTTTTTGGGGATAAGTCAGGAGTAACATGGATCACTGCCAGCCTATTTCTGCAGGCAGAGGGGAACAGACTCCTCTGTCAGCCTGCAGCCAGGATCTGCCCTCTCTCTCTCTCTCTCTCAATATTTTTGATTATGGGATCTTAACTTCTTGCAGGTAGCATACGTTGCCTTTTTTATGGAGTTTACTTCTATTTTGTGAAGGTCTGTAAAGTATAAGAAACAAGTTTATATCTTTTTTGCAGTGAGTTCCATGTCTGTGAAGATACTCAGCTACATAAACCATCTTGTCCTGAGGGTAAGTATCAAATTTTTTTTACCACTAAGGAGAAGGCTTTGTAAAAGGGGGAAGTGTTTTTTTATATGAATAGCAAGACTGCAGCAAACTAAAAACAAAAGTCTAGGTGGGTTAAAAGAATGAAAATGAGAAGGTTCCACGAGTGCCTTTAACCATATTCAGCAGATTGAGTATCTGAGGCCAGAGAATGTCACTGTTTGAAAGGACGTTTGAGCAGAAGAGCTTTTTGCTTTCAATAGCTGGAGAGCTTTTTTCAAGCTTTCACATTGGCAGTCCCACTAAAATCTCAAAAGAGTTTAATGCTACCATCAGACTGTTACTATCTTAAGTCCTTTTGCCTCAGAGGATTCTCTGGAGGAATACAGCCAGAAGTTGTGTGTTTTTCTCTTGGGGAAGTTTTGTTGTTGGGAAGGATGTGTGCTGAAAAACTTACTTTTGACCCGAATTAACTCCTGGTGCTGTTGACAGAGGTTATCCCGACTCCTGATGTATCCCCAGACATCCACAGTGGAAATGTGCTTTTAGACCCTGAGGAGGAACAGAGAGATGAGGCCAGCCTTCCAAAAGAAGGTACCAATTCTGATACAGTCTAAAAAGAGCAAGCTAGCTCACATAATATGGTGGTAAAGGTGTGGTTCAGTAATGGGACAAAACCAAGCCTTTTTTAATGGGGTTCCTTAAATGCCAGCTCTGTAATTTCCTGCTAGGACCAGCATTTTTAAAATCATGTGTTAAATATTTTAAGTAGTGTTGGATACACTGTTGTGGAAAAACTGTTGATATGACAGAGCCTCCTGGTTTTTCTTTACAGATGTAGGTCTGCTTCCCCCACTGGCTCCTGCTCCGTTTTTCTCTATATTTGATGAATCCTCTACTTTAACAAATCAGAATATAAGGTAGAAATATTCAAGACCTAGATTTCAGAGGGAGGGAACACCTGAAATATCAAACCATTTTCTGTAGCTTCTGAAATAACTGCTTCTTGCAAGGGTGTGGGGTGGCATTTTGTTTTGTTTATATTGCTTTTTTTTATTTCATTACTCAGAGTCCATGATGAGGAAATACTCTTCTGTTGTTCTTCCTCAGCCTAGAACTTTTTAAGCTGCTATGTAAACTTTCTTCATTTTGGAGAGTTGTATAAATTGCAGTTAACTGGCAGTTCTGTGCTAGAAAAATATAGATTGAAATTGTCGGTAGATAAAAACTCTTGAGGAATCTGCTCTAATAAGTATTTAATTGAGTGTAACTTTGTCTTAGTTGTTCTGCAGATCATACCCAGACGAGTGCCCGTCGCCCTCTCGCTGTTCGTAAACCTTTGGCCTCTCTGGCAGCAAAGGAAAACGCCTCAGCAGAAACCTGTGTAAGGACACAGCCTGCCCACAGCACAGCCCCTGCCCAGGAGGAGCCAGCACTGCCTGTCCTGCTGACACACCGACCTGAGGGGCAGTTAGCAGGGATTCCAAACTGCTGTCTGGCATGGCAGGGCTTGAATTGGGGCATGTTAAGATTATACTGGAAATTCGTGGTTTTATTAGGCTTAAGGAGATGATGGTAGGGAAGTCATTAGTGGCCAGAGCGAAAGATACATTATGGAAGGTGGTTGGGTGGAAGAAAGGGGAGAGAGAAATATTCACCTTTTAAATAAATTAAAGAAAAAAATGTCATAAAATGTACAGGCTTTTCACTGTCTCTTCCTGCTTTTCTTAAGGATGAGCTGAATGGAATCGAACCTTTGACTGAGGATGCAATTGTGTCAGGCTCCTACAAGAACAAACCCCTTTGTGCCAACCCAGAAGACACGTGTGACTTCAACAGGGCTGCCCACCTGGCCTCGACGCCCTTTCACGGGCTGGGGGCTCAGAGAGTCCCAGCTCCTGCTTTCTCCCAGAGTGGCCTGAAGGAGGATAGTCCAGAATCCAAGAGTGCACCTCTGGAGCAGGAAACGCTGGTGTGTGAGGGAGCCTACAGGGAAGCTCTGTGTGTAAATAAACTGAGGTAATTAACAGCAAAGTACCCTAAACCCTGTGTGTCTTTCACAGTTGTGGTTTTACTGTGGTTCTGTTGCTGCAGAAACAGTTTTCTGAATAGACCAGGATATTCCAAAGACAGCCATTTTTCTAGCTTAGGGTCTACTCTGCCTTGAGCAGATCCAAGAGGCAGGAGCAAGCCCACTTGGCTTTTCAGCATTAGTGCTCTGGGCCTTAACTCCATGCTTTTACCAAATAACTTGCAAAGTAATTAATAAATGCATTCTATCTTGGTTATCAGACATGAAAAGCAGAGTCATCAGTTCCTTTCATACTCGTAGGCTTCTGCAGTTATTTTAAGTATATAAGATGCATCTGGTGACTATAATTTAGTTCTTCTACAGAGGAGGGAAGCTGGAGAGAAGAAAAAAACTGGCAAACAACCTTCTTTTTTATCCTTGTAAACCAAAAAAGCATCTTATATGGGGGTTTCTTAATTTAGAGCTGAGTTGGTTTTGCTGGCTGTTAGTATGTAAACACATATACCACGCCAAGGTGTTTGTTTACTTGGGAAGCTCCCTGGAAACCATGCTGAGTATAATTAGGCAGAGTTATTTCCCACCCAACCCTTCACTGCTTTAAAAGCCCTGAAATGTGGTAGCGAGACGAGGAATAAATATTCAGTATGTCTTCTATGGTAGCAGTCAGATTTAGTGGAAGAGGAGATAAAAAGTCATCTGTAGACTAAGATTCCGAGTATAAACAACCATCAGAGCCAGAATGAAGCTCTGACGTGACTTTTGGTTTTCCACTAAGGCTGGGAAAGGATTTCTTTGTTAATTAAATGTGGAAGTGCACAGTATCCTCCCCTGGTCACTGGGCTGGCATTATCTCAAACCTGTATGTTCTGGCAGTCTGAACAGCTGCTGACTTTATTTCCAGCCCCATCATGGAAACAAGCCTGGAAGACACTCGCTCGTCAGGTTCTTCAGTCTCAGGAGGTTCTCTGTCCTCTGTTACACAAACATCTGCTATTAAATACCTGCATATCCCTGAGAAACTGGAGCTGGCTCAGAGCCTGCCTGCTGAAACAGCTCCTGATGCTGGAGGTGTCTGTGGAAATGCTCCTGGTTAGTACTAAACCAAGTTTCACTCACAACAAATAACTTGCAGCTGTCACTAAACATGTTTCTTCTTGTCCTTCCTATGTCCCACTCTGCTTCCTGTGTGTTTCCCATTGCTGTGACTTGTGCCTGAACTTGTGTCCCCTGTGGGAAGCAGCAGAGAGGTGCAGCACAGAATGCTTGTCAGCATCCAAAACATGGAAATATTAAGGGGACAGAAGTTCTTAAGGTAGTAAAACAGGGAGTGTGTAGGAATAATGAGGTCAAATTCTGAAAGGAAAAGTTGGGACTGGAGGGCAGTGAGAACTTCTAAGACAGCTTTGGTTTGGTTTGTCTTGTTTTTTTCTCTGTAATGATACTGTGTCTCTGCTGATGTGCTGATAACTGCTACTTTGAAAAAGGGGAATTTGAAATCTAGTGAAAGTTGCAGAATTTTGGTGTAAATTTGCACTTTTAACTGTGCTGTAAAGTGTGGTGCTGTTTCACAGTACATTTCTTACTCCTATTGAAGGAAAACAATACTGGTACTTGAATAGTCAATTTATTTTTCTTCTATCTAAAAGCCCTTGTTTCTCTCTGTTCTGAATATTTATATTACAGTTAGAACAGGAGTGGTCACAAAAGGCCTTTGAAATCTGGCCTACAGAATTAGGTGTATGTGGCATGATGGTTTTTCAAGGTGTTTAAACTGCTTTAACTCCTTTGATTTTGACTTATGATGCTTTAATTAGAATTGTGTATCTGAAAATTCTCAGTGTATCTACTCTGGAGAAGAATGTTCTTGTGTGCCTGTAGACCTGGGACCTGGAATGAAAACACAATTCCTACATGGAATTATCTTATGTGTCTTCCAGGAGGTAAAAGCCACGAAATTTTTAATATTGCAGTGAGCAACAGTGTTGGAGTCCAGCTTTGTTTTCCTTTTCTTCCATAAAACCCCTGCTGTAATTAAAGGACTGAATTTCACTAAACCCCCCTTCATTTGAAAATCCTAAACTGATCACTTACTCTGGGCATAGATTTAAAACAAGGAGTGTTGATTTGCAGAATGACTTCTGCTGTGGCTGAATTAATTCAGAGCTTTGTCTCTTGTGGAAGATATATTTTGCATGATGCTGCAGGAGACTCCTTGAGACGTGAGTCTGTGAGGTGGTTGTAAAGAGGAGTGTCACATTCACTTCACAAACTGTTGGGAGGAGGTGAAGGTGAACAGTAAATCAGAATGTGGACAGAAAGCTTCCAGTATCTGGGGTACTTTTACTGACAGAGGTAATCCAATGGCACAGACTCATTACTGAGTTTCAGCTCACCTTGCTGTTCCTTGCCTTCCTAGGGGATGACGTGGCTCAGTTCCTGTGGAGTGCTGAGCAGCGTAAAAAGCTCTTGGATCCTGTGCCAGAATCACTGGCTGCTTCTCCAGATTTTTACTTGGAGCCTGGAGCTCTGCCTGGCATGGAGGTTGAGAAGGACATTGAGCTGGGTAGGTGTGCCAGAGCCTCTGCAGTGCTGGGGATCTGTTTGTGTTCTCGTTGGGTTGAACTGTGGTTCATGTTCGCCCTCAGAGTTGGATGTGAGCACCACCCAGCTCTCCACACTGGGGAATAACTTGGGAATGTCTGTTTGCTGTGACAGCTTATGAATGTAAACTTTCATCCCAGGGCATGAGACTTACTGCATCAAATGGGAATACTGGAGCAATGAGGAATACAAAATGTTTTTCGCCATTCCAGCTAACCTTTTCCAGTTGGATGCAAAGGGATTTGCAATAAAGGTAACACACACGATGGTTATTGTACAAGAATTGTGAAATGGTAAAATCTCATCCATTAATACATAAAATGTAGTAAGTCTGGCCTTCATTTCTGAATTCCATACATGAAGTTTGCTGCTTCGAGTCCTATTTCTAATTGTGGGTATAGATTAAAAGTTTCTGGCTGTGGAAAACGCCTTCCTTAGTGAAGTGGGAGAGGAAGAAAAAGGCTGAGAAGAATATGAAGATGAATAATTTTCATTTTATTCCAAAAATAAACGTCCTTCTTACGTACCTTGTCGTAGGTGTATTCTCAGCCTGTGCCTTGGGATTTTTATATCACCCTGGAGTTACAGAGGCGTCTGAAGGCTGACTTTGACCAGAGCTTCAGTGGGAGCTGCAGCTGCCACCTGTACCGGGATGGCTGTGCCGTGGTGCACAGGGACATCAACCGCTTCACGCTCGGGGTCAGTACAGGCTGGAGGGCACAGGGACTCTTGCTTGGCTACAGTAGTGACTTTGGCTGAAGAGCTTCCCCTGGTTAATCCTGCACTCTGGATCCTCTGGGTTTTATCCATATACAAATCAGGGCTGTCTGTTGTAGCCTCCCTTGGGTTTGGTTTCTCATCCGTAGATCATGTGCTTCTCAGAAGATGATCTTGAACAAATTATTCACATTTTCTGTCTTTGTGAAAGAAAAAGGACCTGAACCAAGAACCACATGTTATTCCAAACAAGATTTGCATCTAAAACTGTTGTTTAACTTTACCTGTTTCAATAAGTTCCCATCTGCTATAGCAAGGTCATAGCGTTTAATGTCTTGCTGAAGGATTTATATTTTAAATAAAGTCTTGTAAGTGCATTTTGAATTGTTGTGTATAAATAGGATAGAAACTAAATAGTGATTTCAGTCTTGAGTTCAATTTTCTCCTCCTGATCTTTTGTCCACTTTTGAATAATAATGTCTCCTAGGAGCTCATGGCTCTTGTAATTCTGCGTGGGCTGGTCATGGGCAAAATCTGATTATACTGAATTTAGGGTGGGACTGTTATCTCTGTACAGTTGAGTAATGAAAAAAAAGGTGAGCTATAAATACTCGACCTAATCTGAGGTAGAATGGCCCAGAGATACATGTTTACTGTCTCTTTCCAGGATGTTATCCGTGGCCGCAAGTCCATCACGGAGGAAGTCATCTTCCTGGTTGTTTATAACCTTCTGGGTGTGGTAGAGAAGCTGCACAAGGCTGAGATTGTCCATGGAGATCTGAGGCCAGAGGTGTTCTTTCTGGGAGACAGGTTTGTCTCTGGGTGTGGGTGTGGGGGTACAGAGCACTCACTGCAGCTACAGCTCTCGTGCTGCTCTCATTTCTCCTCCTTAGCTGGGGGGCTGGTTTTGCAGTCCAGGTATTTTAGGCTCTAGCATATTCTGGAAACAGTGAAAACACTTTGTTTAGGAATAAACCTTTCTATAGAAGGTTTACACAGTGATGTTGTAAAACTTGTGCTAAGCAAAATGGTGTTGCTGTTGCCTGTGTTTTCAAGCTTCTACCTTACCGGATGTTTAGTGTACTGGACCTCTAACTGGATATGGAAACTTGCCTTTGGTTTTACATATCTGAAAACCAGGAAATTAGAAGACAAAGGACAGGTGGGACTGGAATATCCAGACACCCTTAAACAGACTGCTCAGCTTCCTCTGCAGTCCAGCTTGTACCTTGATGCACAGATCTAGTTTTCTTCTTGAAGCTCTTTCCCATATTATGTTAACAAAGTCTCATATCCCATGGAATGTGATCTGTGAACTAAGTGTGGGAAGCCAGTAACCAGAATGTCTAATGAATCAGGTAGAATTCCATTACATAAATTCACTGAGGCTGTTCTTGGTTATCCCTGATACGTTAGAAATAGCTATTAACTTTAAATTTACTTAGAGCCTGCAGCCATCTAACATGCACACCCCCAAGATTTTTTATTTAGAATTTCTTTGTGATTATTTTATTAATAACTTATTTATATTATTTACTTAATTGTAAATTACATACATACACACTGAAACTCTCATATTTTCTTCACACCCTACAATGGGTTGTCTTGCACATCCCTTAGGGTGCTGCATCCTGTTTTGGAAGTCACTGATCTAACAGTGGCTTGATGGGCTTGGATATCTTCGGCTGGATTTCTCTGTGGCAAATAAAAAAAACCCCAGCTGCTAAGAAGTTAGGATAGTGGTTTGGATTTTTTAAGATAACTAAAGGACAAGTGCACAGTATAAATTAAAAAATATGCTCAGCACACAAATCTGTAAGAAGAATAGTAGTGAGAGCTGTGGTCTGTGGATATTGTTGGCTTGGCAGTCCTAGATACAGATACTCCTCCCTGCCCTTCTTGTTTGTCCTCTCTCTCCTCTAGACCAGGAAAGGTTTGTTAAAGCATTATCAAGCCTAATTATTTTTTGTATGAAGCATTCTGAGATCCTGAAGGAGAGGGATGAGTGCTAAGCACTGCACTATTGTCCTATTGCACAGACTGTGTTTGGATAACTGTGACCAATATTAAAACAGCAGCATCCTCAACTCTTTGGCTTTCCCATGGGTCACTCTGGAGACTCCAGTGTCACCCCTGGCTCCAGGCTGCCAGCTGCTCCTGTCCAGGGGCAGCCCTTGCAGCAGTTCTGAAGGCAGCCATCAGAGGGGAGCATTGACATGGCTAAGACTCACCTTCACTGCACTGTTAAATTAATTACAGAAGGAAAAAGTTTGTTGGATTGTCTTGTGCTTCACGTGCTTCCTCTGCTCAGGATCTGTGATGCCTTTGCTAACGAGGACATGGCAAGTGCTCTGAAGGTGGTGGATTTCTCTCACAGTCTGGATTTGAGGTTGCAGTCTCGAGTGAGCTTGTGCAACAGCTTTCCCATATCTCAGACCCCTCATGGGCAGCAGCTTCTGGCAGCAAGTTCTCTTCCTTATCAGGTGAGTCTCTGTTTAGCAGGACATCTTAGTTTCTGTGTTTCCTTTGCAAAAATCTATTTTCTTAGGTTGCAATTTTCAAGTGCTGTGGAAAGCTCTGACCAATAAATACTGAATTTGACACCTGATAGAATCTTTGGCATTAAGTGAAGGGGACTAGCAGCACTGTTGAGAGTCTGTGACTACTGTATTTATTTAGAAACCTACAATAAAAACAGAAGTTTACTTCTTGAAGTTTTCTTGCTTAACAGTCTCTGGAAGATTCTGGTGCAAAGACCAATCCGGACTTAAGTGTGTGAAAGCACCAACAGCAGAAAACTGTAGTGGATTGCAGAGAGTGACAGGCATTGAACTTTGTGATGTTTGTTGTGATTACAGGTGGACTTGGTTGGCATTGCAGATATAGTCCATTTGATGCTGTTTGGGGATCATATCCAGGTCTATCAGGAGAATTCCATCTGGAAAATCAGCCAAAACCTACCAAAGTAAGTCCTTTTGCAGAGGAGGCTGCTGGGGAAGAACAGACATCTAACTTCATTTTCCTTACAGTGGTACCATCCTCAGAGCTTAGAACACACAACTTGGGGCTGTTGCTGCCAAAAAGTGTTAGTTCTGTGGGGACTGAAACTGGGGAGCTGTTGGACTTGTTCACTGGTGGCCTTAATGCTTAGGAGGCAATTCTAAGCTGAATACGAACAGTCCAGTGAAGATGATTTTGCTTTTTCCATCCTTTCGGACCACACTGCCTTAGTCTCTCTGTTTGCACCTCACAGACCAAGCTTGGAAAAGTTGATAAGTGGGTGGGTGGTGAGGGGAAAGAAAAGATCCCATGAGCATGTTGCTCTAGGAGTGGATTTAGTTTGGTTTGCTCTTTTTTCATTCTGCTGAGACAGAGGCCAGGGCTGTCTGTAACAGTAGCAGAAACAATTTACTACGTGCACAGGAAGGAAAAGAATTTACAACTGTCATTCAAGATGCAAGTGCAAACAGCTTCTTTTTGGAAGCTGCTCTTTGTCCTCAGGTATTAATTGCTACTGCTCTCTTTTAGGCACGTGTTTTGGCTGTTAAGATTGCTCTGCCTTCCTCTGCCCTTTTTTGGTTCCTAGGTTGTTCATGTTCTTAGTCACATCCTGCAGCATCCTCTGCCTTGGCATTTCCTAAGGATTTTCCAGAACTCTCCCCCCCATGACAGCAGTTGCTGTGTTCAGGGTCATGGGTACTGGTTGCACTGCCTGTGTGGGTACACTCCTGAAAGCACTTCCTTAAGGAAACCTTGTGCCAGTGTGGAGCTGTCCAGTTCCCTAGCAACCTGCACTGCTCACACCTCCCAGCTGGTTGTGTTCAGCCTTTGGAAAAAGCCTCATGGGCTGCTGTGTACAGGGGGGGAAATGGCCTTTTTTTTATTTACTGGTTTTCTAACTGATTCTTTTTTAATTCTGCAAGAGATTAAACTGAGCTACTGCAGATGAAGCCACACAAGGCCCGAGTTGAGAAGGTTGGAACATGGTGTTGGGGACCTGATCAGGATGTGGGTATGGGAAAAATAGCAATAACTCTCGGGATAACTGGAGCAGGAGGAGTAGTAAGTCTGAATTTGGGAGGATAGGGCTGGCTGTCATTGGAGTTTGGAGGGGAGGGGTCAATTGGAAAGGAATTGCAGTAAAAGCTGGTGACACTGGATCAAAACAATTATGATTCTGATAGAGGTAGAACTTAAAGGGAGACTTGCCAGAAGAGGAGTGAGACCTGGAAAGGGCTAGAGGAGATGAAGGAAGAAGTTGAGCATGAGTTCTGTGGAGCTGGAACCAGGCTGGAATGGCTCATTGCTCACCTGGGTGCATCAGTTCATAACTTGGAAGTTATAAGGAATTTCTTTTCCATCCTGTCTTGTGCTTTGCTTCTGAAAGTGACAGAGATTTAGGGAAAGGTGAATGTGAATTCTGATCGAGTTGTTTTTTTCACCTCCGAGTATCACTAGAAAGCTGACAGCCTGGTTTTCGGGGGAGGGGTTTTACCATTATTAAAGAATGGATTTGGGGATGTTTCAGTTCCCAGAGTCTTTTTAGTTTTTCTATTTTTTCTATACTGTTTTAGGAAACTTCATCTGTGCAAGTTTGCGAGGTAGGATATAGAAGCCGTGTTTGAATTTTTAGGACTCTTTTTGTTACTCCTTACTTTTGAACTCCTTAGACCTCCTTACCAACACTTAATCTCTTCTGCTGTGCCTCTTACTTATCTAAGCCCACGAAGAAAATGGCCTCAAGTCTCGCATATTTTTTGCTGGGTTAGGTTCTGCATGACTTAATTATTTTAGCAAATTATAAGAGTTACTAGTGTAATTGTACAGGCTGGATTCCTCCTGAGACTCTGGCTGCTGCTGTTTGGTGAGTCACTTACATAAAGCAGAGGCAGATAGTTTGTTCCCAAGCCACTGTACCTCCTGGCTCGGGGGAGAAAGTGCTGCAGTGCTCAGTAGCAGTGCAAGACTGAGGAACAAAGGGTTAGCTCTGATATCAGTTTGCCAAGACTTAAATGAGTCACTTAACCTTTTTATTCATGTTGTGTGGGTACATCTGGGAGAGGGGGGATTTATTCCTGTGAATTGTCTCTGAAATGTTATCTATACAGAACTCTGGCAGATGGAAGGCAGGGAAAAAACCCAAAGTAAAACTGGCTGTAAAACACCTTTTAAAAAATTATTTTATTTCTCTTGTAGCTTTCCTTTTTAATATTGCCTTGTTAACTTAGCTTGCAAGTGGGGAAATAAGATTTACCTCTGCCCCTTCTTCCTGAAAGGATTCTGCCAAGTTTGTTGGTTCAAAACTGTTCCTGGTAACTCCTTTAAATGCCAAGTGCTGTGGCTCAGTGTGAATGGGGATAGTGCTCAGGTGCACTAAAAGAGGTAACAGTACAAACAGGGGGGGTTAGATGTGTGTAATTCCTATCCAGAAGCTTTCTGGGGAAAGAGCAAGGGGCCCATGCATATGCAGTGAACAACACATTCCTAGTTTGCCTTGACTGGAATGACTGTTTCAGGGGTGGATCTCCCGGGATGTTTAGTGCTGAATATAAATGCAGACCCTGACAGACGTGTGTGTGTGTGTGTTGTGTGTGTGTTGTGTGTGTGCACTGTTCCACTGAACACTGCTCTGTTTGTTTTAGGACTGTTGACAGTGATTTCTGGAGTAAACTTTTTGGGAGAATTCTGAATGCAGATGGTAAGTCCACAGCGCCTCTGCTGCGGGAGTTGAGAGAGGAAATCGGTGACATGTTTGACAGCTGCTTCCAAGAACGACTTTGTGAGTCCTTAGCTGCCCTGGGAGTGACCTTCCTCCTCTAGAACTTCCTGTGACTTCGTAGAGGACAAACACACCTTGTATTATAGAGAAGAATTTGTTGTTGATTTCTTATTTATTTTTTTCCAATGTCAGCATGACAGCGATTGCAGCTGTGTCTGCAGTGCTTCACGTGGGACTTGCTAAAGGATGTTTTTGTTGCATCAGTGCCCAGATCAGTTAAGAGGCTTAGGAGTTTAACCTGTGTCTGAGCAGTTTGCCAGAGAAAATTGTTTGCCACGTCTGCCCCCTGCCCTTGTACAGCTCCTTCAAGATGTGTTTCATACCTGGTTCACACCACGCTCTTTGGAAGGGCTTTGTCCTGCGTTCAGTTGGCCTTTCAATTAATGTTTGATTGATAAAGTTGTCTTTTGAGAGCAACTCAGTCACATTAAACACTGCTGTCAGATGGTTTTGAAAGACTGGGTTTAGTGCTGGAGTTGCTGGGGATGTTTTGTGGCTGCTGGATACAAGAGCCCCCGTTTGGTGGCTCATAACCACGTGGCATTTCCCGGACACCGGAACATAACCTGGATGGTTCTACTTGGAATATGCTCTCATGGATGGTTGTCATAGGAAAAAGTAGATGAAGACATGAGTGGAAAAGCCACACAGTTAATTTTGGCTTCTTAAGGCATTTTGTTTACTTTTGCAAAGGCTGCAGTTCCTGATTGGATTTGAGCATCCTCCAGAAATCTCCCTGAAGTCTCAATTTGCCATAAGTGAAGTGTTTGCAGGTTTTTGTGTGAGGTTTTGTGGATAGATATTTGTGTTAACCTTTTAACCATTGTATTACTGAAACCAATAAAAAGGCTTCATTTTATTCAAGACAACAAAATTTACATGATCCAAACCCAATGTACTATGTACTTTAAACATAGAGAACCTCCTCAGACTTGGCATTTACCTCCTCACAGCTTCTGCCACGCATGAAAGTGAGAGCACACAACTGCTTCACCAGGAACTTTCATCTCCCTGGAAAGCCAAACTGGCTGGGTTCTTTCATTTGGTTCAATTGTCCAGCCGTGGTTCTGTTGATTCTCCTGTTTGTGTTGTCTCCAAATTCTCTTCTGGAACTTTAATTCTGGTTTTTTTCACATGGCTACAAACCACCTTGTTTCCAGTTTCTTCTGCGTATTCCAGCACTACTCCTCTTGCTTTGGCCTGTATTCTTTTTCCTCTCCCAGCTTCCTAATGCCTTTTTTATGTGCTCCTGTAAGTCAGGAGTGGGACCTAAATGCCCTGATAGACCAGCTTTAATATCTAATGTAAAGTGCTGCAGAAGAATTTATTTTGGTCCATTAATGCCTTAAATAATGCTTCTTGTAGTACAAGTCATTGATAAGTCATGTACTGAGCACACAGATAAATAATGATTTGTCTCTAGCCAGAGTTAAGAGCCAAGATCACTGGGAGAGCAACTAGGAGTCCAATGCATAGCTAAGTTCTAAAAACATTGCATGTTTGTTCTTTAGCTAAAATTTATTTTCTTTTGCTGATCCTCTAACTTTTGCCTTTTAGGCAAAATCGGGGGGGGGTCTCACTTCCTCCTGTTTCAGCTTATATCCTGCAGCACAGGTCTGAAAACCAGGTAGCTTAGGAAGAGAACATTGCTAAGCAAGTATCACTCATCCCAAGGACTTCTCAGGCAAGACATGTTTCCAGGCAGTACAGGACAACTTCACCACGTCTAACTCAGAAGGCTTTTGAGAACAGCCTGAATGCACAGATAAGAGCTCTCTGCAGAAGTTCAGCAAAGGTCTTTAAAAGCTGTAAGTGAACCTATTTGTCTATAAGGAGATGTATTTCAAAGCTGCAATCCTCCACTATTACTTTGATGTTGACTTGGCACCTGTTTTCTTTCTGAACAAGAAGTGTGTTAAATCCTTCTCTGTGTAATAAGCCTGCCCCCGATCAGTTAGTCTTCATGTATGTCCCAGACAACACAAAACTGCCCCCAAGTCCTGTAAAATAAACACAGCAGTGGCTTTATCACCCTGGCCGTAATAAACACACACAGATAACAGAGGGAGGAGCAGGGATAACAAAGAGCAGTCACCTCTTGTGCTGGTTGTTCTGTTCTGCTCCAGTGAAACTCTGCCTCTCATCCACACAGGTAAGTCTCTGCTCCCCCAGCCCATGAGCTCATTGCACCAACATGTACCAGGAGGGCAGGGAGGTCTTCTTTTGACATCCTTGTTGTATGTTCAAGTAACTCTGCCTCCAACCTTCAAAGCTTTTCCTAAGCATCACTTTTGAATCATTGTGTGACAGGCAGATGCTCTCACAGGCTGGGATTTTCACAGACTTGTCATGAAACAGGAGAGAGACCAGCCTTGCCCATGAGATATTTGGAGATAAAAATTGTCTTAGCAGTGTCCAAGGAAAAGAGGCAACTACAGATCCTGGGATGTCAGGAAGTGCCACAGGGGGTGGCTGGCAGGGTGAAATGTGTGAAGGGGGTACAAGTCCTAGTCAGGTTATCACAAAACAATGTGGTGAGGGAATCTGAGCTCTAGCGAGTTTTAATACACTGTTATATAAATAAAAGTGCACCAAGGAAAGTAAATCCAAGGATTTACCAGGTTGTTTGAGAATAAAACTTGACCAGAGATACAACAGGGATGTCTGGAAGATCTCTGCAGTCTTGAAGTGCTTTGATTCAGAAACAGTGAGAGAATCAAGCTGTTAATATCCACTCTATTGTGTTAAGTGGAAAGGAGTCTAGAAATAATGGCAGGAAGTCACTAAGCCACAAAAATATGCTACCTATAAAAAAATAGAGGCTGATCGAGCTGTGGGTGAGGCAAACCCCACAGGTGTGAGCCATTTTCTGCCCTTAAGCTCTGGCAGCTGGGGTTGGAGAAGTTGGTTCCACTGTCTCCAGGGCTCCTGGGGAATCAGTGCCCACACACAGGTGCTCCAGGTGACCCCTGAGTGCCAGGGAGTGGAACCACCAATGGTGGGACAGAACCTAACGACTTTCCAAGGTACACCTGCACATAGTTAAATATATTGTGAGCTGACACCCACTTTACCCCTGAAGAGATCGTGGTAAGGAAGCTCAAGGAAGGCTGAGGAGCACTCATCATCTGCTGGTCTCAAAAGGTAGGTGATTTTTTAGATTTAAAATCCTAAATGTGACGTAATTGATAAAACTTATCAGATATATTCTGAGTGCAGTTATCTGAGATTTTCCCAGCCTGAGGTCTGTGTTATATAGATTAAGAGGTGTAAGCTTGGGCTTGTGCTAGCAGGTAATACTTGGCTTTTTGATTTTCCAGAATGAACTAGAAGGGGTAGGCAACTCAGCAGGGCTACAAGGATCTCGTGTGGTTATGCAGGGAGAAAACTAGAAGGGCCAAAGCCCAGTTAAAGCTTAACCTGGGTCCTGCAGTAAAAACATAAAAGCAACAGGGCAAACAACAAAAGGAGGGCTGAGGAGAATCTATGAAGGGTGTTGGGGCACCCTCAGTAAGAAGTGGTTGAGTCACTATTCCTGGAAGGATTTAAAGGATATATACAGGTGGCACTTGGGGATGTGGTTTGGTGGTGGGCTTGGCAGTGCTGGTTGGGCTCTGAGAGGTCTTTTCCAACCCTTATGATTCTGTTATTCAAAGTAGACAAATCACCCCTCCTGCATGTGTATCAGCAAGTAATTCTAAGCCTTTCCTCTGTGCTGCTGCTGATTTCCCACTTAATAAATATTCCAAATGACCTGGGGCTGAAGTGCAGCTCCTGAGGTGCTGTGCTCCAGGCTGTGCCCGGTGATTTCCCCTGAGGAAACCTGTGTACAGAAGATGAGAGTTCTTATTCTAAGAGAGTTATTTGGCTGTGGGCTGCAGAACTGCTGGTTAGAGTCTCTGCTTCAGCCTGGGGCTATGGGCACTGCATTTACATTAACTGTGCTTATACAGACTGCCCTTAAAGCTGGATAAAGGACACTTTACCAGCTTCATTCTCTGGGTTCTTACTGTTTTACACTCGTTGCCCCTCTGCTTGGTTTATCCAGCAGAATGCCATGGTTGGAAACTTAGAAATATGAAGGTTTCATTTCCATAACATTTTAAATTATTAAGCGACATGTGGATATTGAGGTCACTAAGTAAGACTGGGGAAAAATGTTCTTCCTTTTGTTGGTTCTGTAAATGGTTGTTTCATACTCTCCTTTTGTAATAATTACCATCCAGAGCTATTTAATTATTGATCCCGTGGCTCCAGCTGGTGTGACAGTGTGATTTGCAAAGCAGGAGCAGCACCTGAGGGACACAAAGGCAACTGTCAGTGTTCAGGTTCTGGGTCTCAGCTGATTGTTGTTTTCCCAGTGCTTTGGTTTCTCCTCAGTTTTTAGGATCTTGAAGCTAAACTAGTCATGTACTTTGATGTAGTGTGGTACTCTGTGTAATCATTCCCTCAGGGATCATTTTGTAGCGAAAAATGTTGGAATAGTGCAAAATTCAGTGGTGAATGTGGCTTGTTGGTGTGTTCCTTTAGTATCCAGTCAAAACAACCAGCAAAGGCACTGGGCTGTTCTGCCCCATCTGCAGCTGCTCCTGAAGAGCCTGGGTTGGTGCTTCACCTGTGTGTGAACTGAACTGGCTGCAACTTGTCCTCTCCTGAGCCTGTTCCCTTGGTTCCCAGCCCAGTCCTGCTGGTACCCTTTGAGAGAACAATGGCAGAGGGCACCCCTTGTTTTAGTGGCACATCCCCTGCTCCTGCTGTTTGTAGGGGAACTAGGGATGGCTTTTCCTCGTGCTGATTTACTGGAGCCACAGTCTTTTATCGTAGAAACTCTGGCTTAGATCCTGTCTAAAAGCAGCAGGTTTTTATCAAGATGTAAAACAAGTGTCAGCTGGGAGGAGTCCTGACTAGCCTGAACCAGAAACCTTACTCTCAGCTGTGAAGGCAGTCTCTGATTTGCTTAACATGGGCAATGTGTAACAGGAAAAGTCCAGTTTTATGCAATTAGAAAAGTTATTATTCCTCCTTATGTCCTGGAAAAGCACGTTTTTCACTTGAGGAGTTGGACAACAACGGAAAACTCTCAATGATCCCGTTCTCAGCTCTTTGAACACATAATTCCTACACAGCTGAACATGGGAGCCACCTTCACTGCATCTCTGAGTTTCTGCTCTACATGTGCTCCGTGCACCAAGTCCAAAATGGTGTTTTCCTTCCTTTCAGCTGAACTGAGGAGGCCTTTGTCCAAGTCAGCAGTACATGTGTCCACACATCAGAACATTCTCAATTACAAGCTTAAGTTTCTGTGGGCTTTCAGTGTATGGCACATTCTTCACTGTCTTAAACTTTATTGTGGTTTCCACGGTGATCTTTCCTGATGCATCCCCAGCCTTTCCTGCAGGATGCTCAGCAGTGTGGGTGGAGTGGGAAAGGCAGAACAACTGCTGTGTGAGGAGGAACACACTGGTGCATTGGATGAGGCTTATGGAAAAGAGTTACTTCTCCAGTTTCCCTAATAAGTACACACTGGTCCTCTTGAAATGGGAGACAGCAAGTCAGGAAATGCTGTTTGTGTAGCTGGCCATGTTGAAAAGGAGAGATGAGAGCCCTGCTTCTCCTGACTTTTCCTACCATATTTCATTACAGTAAAAGCCAACCTGTTGGGTGCTGAGCTGTGAATGCTTTAGCAAAGCCCTTGTAATGCTTTTGTAGTTTTGTTAAACTTGTATTACTGAGACAAAGAGGGTTCCAGACTGAGGACAAACCTTCCCCTGCCCACTGCTCCTGGCTCTGCAGTTTGGGTTTGCTCATTTATAAAACTGGTATTGTACTTTTATGTTTATTTTCTTACCTACATATGCACATTTATAAATTTTTCACTTCTGCAGAGGCGAAATGGTTCATAAAACCAAGGTAACACTACACTCAGTTGCTGCTTTTCCTCACCTGCTTTGGGATTGGAAACTTCTGTGGCTCCCTCCCAGAGTGGTGCTTTTGGGCAGTTGAAATGTGTGATACAACCAATCATATGGCACCAAAATAGGCTTGGTATTGATTAGTATCCAGAGACTAAAACAGGGAAACCATTGCTCTGCCTGGTGCTGTTGTTTAAGCTGGAGTGTAGCTGTTCCACCAGCTGCCAAGATCCAAGCTGTTTTCTTTGAAAACCTAAGGTGGTTTTTTTTTTTAACTTTTACACTGAATTTTGGGCTTTGACCTGTATCTTGGTGAATAATTCTTAGCATCCAACTTCTGGGATGTCACTCTCCTGTCAGACTTTGGTGTGATAAATGGTTGCATGTTTGGTTTGGGTGCCATACACATAAATAATACTCCTTTGATGTCTATGGTAGCTTTCCTGTCCTGGTCTTAAACCACCCTTTTATTCCAAGTGCATTTTAAAATTATTATTTTTGTTCCTGTCTAAGTTTATAATCCTCCATTTCTTCTCTCTTCTGTGTTTTACAATTTTCATATGTGCTAAAGGTTTCCTTCTCTGAGGGTTGTGTTGATGTGCAGTGGCACCCCCATAGCCAGGGCCAAGGCAGCCAGTCCCAGGAGCTGCACTCTGCCCCTCGGGGTCCCTCCAGCTCTGCATGTTCTGTGATCCCAGGAGTTACTGCAGAGCCTTTCCAGAAGCCAGGCTCTCTGTGACTCCAGAAGCCAGGCTCTGTCCTCCCACAGGTGTATCCCAGTGATGCTGCAGAGTTTTTTGGGGGTAGAAGTTACTACACAGACACAGTTATTTGCCCTGGAAAGCTGAATCCAGCTCTAATGAATGAAGTCCCAAAGCTGGCAGCATTCAGCACTTTCATGGGCTGGGGATATTTTCTAGCAAGAAAATTAATTTCTGAGACTCGTTGACAGAAACATCAGGAATGGATCTGCTGCCTTTGTCTCCACCCACCCCAGCCAAGAGTGGGGGGAGAGGAGCAGCTTTTTTTATAAATAGCTCCCTTCCTGTTGTATTTGTAAATTCGGTGCTTTTTGTGTCAGTGACATCACCCTCTTCTCCATGGCAACCCCCTCCGATGGCAAAACTGCAGGGCACTGCCAGAGGAACTCAAACCAGCACATGAACAGGTTGAATGGAGATGAGTTAATTGAGAAATAGTGCAGGGGCAATAGGAGGGGGTGGGAAACAGCAGCGAGGAGGTTCCTGCCAGCTCTGCTGCTCCAGCAAACTGTCCCCTGGCATGGCTGGTTCCCAAAGCTCTGCCCCATCTCCTCTTCGTGTAAGTCCCTGTCAGGAGGAGGCAGGTGGAAGGCAGGCAGGCATCTTACTCCCCATCTCCCGTGTGTCTGGAGAGCAGCACTACAGGTGACTAAGCAGGAGGAGCATGGCTGACTCACTCCTGAGTTATTTTCTCACTCCTGTTCTCTTCCCCCTCCCATCTTTTCTGTTTGTTTTTTAGCTTTCACCCGACAGTTTGCATTTTTCCCCAGGCCCTGATGTGAAAGAATTAGCAGCAGGCTTTCTTGTTACCTAATGTTCACAAAAATGTGCTTGTGGTTATCCACGGGGGAAATGAAAGCCAACTCCAAAAGCAAGAAAAAAGAGTTCTCTGGATAAAACACCTCCATCTTAAAAAAAAAAAAAGGCATCTCCTTTCTGAATGTTGTTCAGGAAATACTGAAGTGACTGACGTGCCAGAAAGCTGTAAATAACTGGTTTCCTTATCAAGATACCTGTGGAAAACACCTAATTGCCTCACTGGCTGCCCTGCTGGTCTTGACTTGATTTCTGACCCAGCTGCAGTGGGGGAAGCCATTGCACTTGCTGCCTTGACTCCAGCATTGGGTTCTGCTGGTTTCCACTTGGGACTGAGGAGCAGGAACATAGTGGTTCCAGCTGCTTCAATCAGCTTCCTAAATCTGTCCTCATTTACACACCTATGAAGTCTGAAGCCTTAGAACAGTTTCCCTTCCTTCTGCAGGGTGCCAGGAGACCTGGTGCTGAAATTTAGCCTGCAAGAGGTGTCAGCCTTGTATTAGAGTTGGGGTTTTTGTGGCACAGCGGGACATGTGCTGGTCTTGTGTAACTTGTCCAACATTCCCAGAGTCCTGACATCCAGAGAGGGGCATGGCAACACTCCCGGGAAGGAACTCCGTGATGGGATAGCACTGCACCTGCCAGTCATGGCCTGCTGTTTGCAGGGCCCAGGAGCCTTGAACCACAGGCTCTCCCAGTGTGAGGCTCTGCTTCTGGAGCTCCCTCCCCATCCCAGTGTGAAGCCAAGCCTGTGATTTGCACGGAGTCTTTACACACCGGAATCTTGATGAGTATCTCGCTCTTGCCTTTTGTGCAAAATGCCACTCAAGGCACTGTGCCATCCTCTCTGCTGAGCTCACAGCACCAGCCCACGACAAGAAAGGTCCCAGAAAACATTGACTCACTGCATCCCAGCATCCTGCCAGGGGACGTGTCTGCAGTGAGATCTCCTCAGCTGGAGCAAGTTTTAATGGAATGGATCACTGTGAGGCTGTTTTACCTTCCCTGAGTGTGCTGCCACCTGTGCTGCCTGCCAGGACAAGGGCTAGGGGGCACTGGGATTGCTGCCAGTGCTGGGCAGGACACAGCTGGAGCTGGGGGTTTGCATGTGCAGGAGGAGCTTTCTGGAGAAGCTTTCAGATGAAATTGCTGAGAATTTTTGCCTGAAGCAAGGGATGTTTCCCATGTTTAAGACAAGCAGTAACCTGCAGTTAGAAGGAAGAAGGGACTGAATTCACTCCAGAAGTATTTCTCCAGGATCTTTTTTTCAAGGTAAGCCTGCTCTTGTGGGAGGTAGATGGGGCAACAGGGTCCACTGTTCTGAACTCTAAAACTGAAGCGATTTCTACATTTTTGTTACCTTCCTAAGCTGTAGAACTGAAATAAATCTGTCTCTGGCACTCCCTTTTTAGACTGAAAATTTAAATCGACCAATAAGAACTAATTTTCTGAGGTCTGAAGCCTTAAGAAAGGGGTGAGGGAGAATGTTTTTAACACTGCCGTGTGCCTGCCTGTGTTCTAGTGGTGAATGAATGCCTGACTGTGCCTCTAAACCATATATTTAAATAGCAGAATAATGGGCGTTGTACAACAGCAGGTGAATGAAAGTAAAACGTAGTAAATAGACATCAGCTTATGGTTTATTAATTTTATTTAGTGGTTTTAAACATTTATAGAGTATTTGTTGTCCTGTAGGAGGCAAAATGATGGTTCCTGCCTTGAACTGGAAGGTTTTTAATTGGCATGGTTTGAAGAAATGTCGATGAAAGCAAGAGAAAGGAGATAGGTTTTTTAAGCATCTGTTTGAATGGCACCTGAACAACCAGTTTATTGCTGTTGAAAACTATCTGTGGAGAGACCAGAGGAGAGGTCCTGCAGTCCCAGCTGCAGGAAAAACCTTATTTAAGGTAGGAAAAAAATACCTTGAATGTAAATGTACAGAGATGGCTCTGAAAAATACCTGGTAACATCTAAAAATTGTGTAATCATCTCCTCCTGCCCAGTATAAACCATAAACTGAAACTCCTCCTAGCTGGGAGCCCTCCAGACTGAGAGTTGTGTGCTTAGGTTGTGGGGGGTAAATTACAGTCCTTGATGAAAGTCCAGTGAAGGTGCTGGAGCCTTGGGGGAATGCACTTGCTGAGCCTGGAAGTGCAAGGCAGAGTGTCCACATCTTCCCTTTGCACACTGATGGATATGATAGTTGTATGCAGTTCTATTTTGCCCATGGAAAAGGAATAGCATGTGTGCCCATGAAAGCAAATCCACCTTCTGTTTAGGGAAGTAACTGTAGTCTGTAAACTCTTGGAGAAAGCCCTGTCGACTCTGTGAGGAGTGAAATGAAAACGCTTTCTGGCTGCTGCCTCTTCCTTTCCCCAGGCTGGGGGAGACTGGAGCGGTGCCTTCAGGGAGATTTGTGCTCTGGGAGGGGTGAGGCTGCCTGGGGAAGGGCACCTGTGCCCGTGTGGAGCCAGGGGTCCGTGCCAGGAGGGGCCGGCGCCCGCAGCCATTGCATAACCCTGGGCTGGCTCCACAGCCACTGCCAGGCACTGGAGCAGCCAACGCGCTTGGACGCTGTGCTGCAGTTGGATTCCACTTGGTGGAAGTAGTTGAGGGTATTCCTGCCAACCTCCCAGGCAGGAGTCATCCGTTCTGCCTCTGTCGCTCGGGGAGCATGAATGAATGACTCTTGAAACATTAATGTAGAGCAGCTTCCAAGAATGCTGTGTACTGAAGCCTGGAATACATTGTGATCTGATTCACGAGCCAGGGTCAGCAAAGGCTTTGAAGAGGTGTTTGCCCAGTGGGTGGACACGCTGCACTTCAAACTGCCCAAGAAAACCACAACATCAGAGGGCAGGGGAGCAAAGTGTGAGCAAAGCCCCAGAGGAGCAGGGGAACCCAAGAGGGACAGTAGGAGCCACACGCTGTGGGCTGGTGGATGGGACAGCACAGCAGCTTGGGGATCTGGGGGGCTATGGAAGGTGCTGCTGCTCTTGGCAGCGTCACTTGACATCGTTTTAGGTTGGAATTCTGCATAACCAGTGTTCAGCACCAAATAATGCATGGAATGGTTCTTTACATGGGTAAAACCTTGTGTTTTGGCTGATAGGATTTCATGGGAGAGGGAGGCTTTCTGCAGCTCCAGAGAGGGATCAACAGAAGGAAACAAGTGATGCTGCTGAAGAATGCAAAGTAGAGCAAGCTAGATAAAGGTGATCCTAATTGAGGAGGAGGGTTGGTATTTAATTAAAACTACTTCTAAAACCCAGGCTCATAGCAGTAAAATAAATAATAGCAGGACATGAGTAATTCCTCTTGGGGGAATGTCAGAGACAAAATTACACTAATGTAATAATGAGGGGCCTGTGTGCAATTGCTCAGAGGAATAGGAACAGGGTAGAAGGATTTTTCACTGCTAAGAAGTTCAAATGTGGTTCAAGTCAAAAGGGACTGAAGCCTGTTAAAGCACAAGCTGCTTGGGGCTCTTGGGCTGTCTGAGCTCCTGAGCTGGACTTGGCAATCCCAGTACAGAGCTGGAGGTCGAGCTCCTGAGCTGGACTTGGCAATCCCAGCACAGAGCTGGAGGTCGAGCTCCTGAGCTGGACTTGGCAATCCCAGCACAGAGCTGGAGGTCGAGCTCCTGAGCTGCTGTAGCGAACGATGGCAAGTTCAGTGTGGCACTTGCACTCCTGCTGCTCAGTCAGGGTGTTTGCAGTGGACTAAAAATAAGTACTTCAGGCCAGACTTGGGACAACTGAGCCATGTGTTGTGCAAGTGGAGGCAAGAAAGGACATTAAACCATCTTGATCTTCCTTATTTCCCTCCCACTCCTCATTTCTAGTGGTGAAATCATCTCAGAGCTCTACCTGCATTCCTCAAGCTGTGATGCCCGTTTTGATGAGGTGGTTAAATAGCATAAACTCATTAAGCACTCCTGACTAATACTCAGTGACATAACAGCATTTCTTCTCCATAGCTGGCTTGCATAATGCTGCATTTCAGTTTGGGTTACCCTTTCCATGTCATGCTTCTCGTTTCTGTGATGTCCATCTGTTTACCAGACGAGGTTCTGGTGGCGGGGGCAGGGAAATAGTCTCAGAATACAAAAAGAACAAGCCCCACAAGTGAGGCCAGCTGGGGCTTGGAGCAACCTGGTCCTGAGCAGTGAGAGCAGCCCCGCTCCAGCTCTGAGCAGGGTCACTGGTGCAGCCCCAGCTGAGGCCCTGCAGCAGCATCCCCTGGCCAGGCCTGTGTCCTGCTGCTGTGCTGTGGAGAGGTGAAAAACCATGCGTAGGAAAGACGGCTTAGTTGTTAAAATGAAACAAATCATTTCAAACTAGAGAGCAAATGCACCCAGCAGCTTCAGCTGACTGTGTTCACTGACTGTGAACAGATCATGTCAACTTGATGTCTCTGAGCTTGATTGGTTTTCCCCTGAGAACGGGTTCAGTTGGGCTGTCTGAGGTGTCAGCACTACCTTAGTGATGCCCTTCTGGCCTTCTGACTCTCCTTTCTGCCACAGGTATCTGTTCTGGATACCTTTTTTTTCCCCCACCTGTGTCAGCCTTGGAGTTTTCTTTCAAACCTGTGACTTCTCAAGGCACAGCAGGAGCTGAGGATCTTTATAGCAGAACTGGAGAACTGGGCTTAGATGAGGAGAAGAGGTGTGAAAGTCTTTCCTTAATCTGGACCAGGAACAGAGGAGTTAATATGTGCGGTGGCCAGAAGGCTCTACACAGATCTTAAAATAACCAAGAACAGGATAATTTGGCTTAAAAAACCATCTGGGTCTTGATTCAATGCTCATTAAAATTCATAGTAGCCTTATGACTGGCTTGTGGAAGAATTAAGTAGGGTGTTACACTTTATAATGAGTACTTTGGGCCCTGGCCAAGAAAGTACATCACTGCCTATAACAATGCTAGAAATTAACTTCTTTCCTGTAACATACAGCTCAGAATCAGGATCTTTGAAGCACTTGTGGAAGTCAGTGAAAAAGCTCTGCTTTCAAGGGATTTTGGATTGCACCCCTAGAACAGCTGTTAGGGCTGGCTCTGGGAAGAAGTCTCTGGGGAGTGGCCTCTGAGCTGTTCCTGCTGCAGCAAGCTGTCCACTTCGGGCACACTCACAGGGAGCCTGCAGGGATCAGAGCTCTGAGCGTGCAGGGAGAGGGGGGAAATCAGACTGCAAACCCAGCTGCTGCTCTGCAATATACAGACCATAAAATGAAAAATGTGTGCTGTTTATTTCATTAGAAACGTAAATGTAATAACTAATGTCACACGGAGTTCAGGTCTCGTAGCGCCTCATCAGCCATAAGGTGCTCCAGTCTGTGACTGCTACTGAGGCAACCTCCTGATTTCTGACCCTTTCTTATAAAATACTGGCCGGTGTTAATAGGGAAGAAAATACCAATTCTGCTGCTCACTCCCAAATCGGGAGTTTGTGAAGCTCTTTGGGCTTTTGTGCTCTCTTCCAAGTTCTAAATATGTTCTCCTGAAGCGTCTCCGAACAGCAGCTGAGTGACGTAAAGCTGAGCCGGGAACTTATTTAGGGAACGTTGCCTTTTATTCCTGTGGTGTTTAAAGGCATGTTTTCAAAAAGGTCTCTTAGAACTCAGGGTCACCTGAATTGTGTCTGGCTACTCCTAACTGGTGGTCTGGGTTGGGGGCTGTGGCCGTACCTTCAACAAATGGCAGTCCCAGTTTAAAGAAGGAAATGAAGGAATTTTCCAGATAACTACTCAAGTATTTCTGTAACAAATCTTTGTTCACAACTCTACCCCAGGCTTTCAGTTTTCATCAAAGTTCTGAAGACCTAAATAAGAAAATGCTCATTTTGAGTGTTAACAAGAATTTGTTTTCAAAGGTCACATGTGCAAATGAACTAAGTTAATACTTATTTTATTTGAATGTATTTTTTTTCTGAATTCATTTGCTTGTAAAATTTATTTGGCACTTCAGAGAGAGCACATGAGCAAGAAAAGTATTTTTGAATTAGTAGCTTGAGGAATGATGAAGTAGATGATGAACTGAAGTTTTTCAGTTATTTTTACAATGCCATCTTCAGAATCTCTAAATGTGCAGAATGGGAAACATTACATTTTATTTACAGTTTAAACGACCATGTTTTATGTCACTCCTTCTTGAATTATTCTAATTCAGAATGTGGAGATTTCCTTTAATGTTTCTATAGATATAAATAGACATGTCTCAGTGGATTATTTTCTGGTGTCACGTGGGAGAGGCTTCCGGTTGAGTTATTCCACCATGGTTCCCCTCTCCCAGCAGCCAGCAGGGCCCAGGCTCATTCCAAAGGAAGGACGTTTGCTCTGCCAGCAGCCAGCAGGTCCATGTGCTCAGGAGGGCTGTGGCTGTGCCCAGCCTGGCCTCCATTAATCACGGGCTGCCTGTCCTCTGGAACTGACCTGAGTGCCCGTTTCAGTTCCTTACTGCGGGATCTGACAGCATTAATAGTTGCACACATGCTTTGGGCAGTTCTGAAACTTATTTTTAATGGAGAAAATGGCAGTTGGAGCTTTACTGTGTGTGCTGCTGAAACTGTGTCCCAGAGCAACCAGCACCTCACACTGTCTTAGGCTGGGATTGAGGCTCTTATAAATTCCAGCCCAAATGAAGGCTCGAGGAGATTGCTGAAGATAAAGAAAATGAGAGGCTTCTCTAACTACTGTCAGAAGAGATCAAAAATCACTCTTATGGGAGGTAGAAATGAACTTTTCCTCTCTCCTCTGTTGTAGCAGTTAAGAGCACCAGACAAGGATGTCACAGCTACCATTTTTCTATATTATATCAATAAATCTCTGAGTGGGGATTATAACCATTTAATCCTTTCCAACCCCTCCCGAGGACTCCAGAGCATTCACAGCTTGTGGAGCCAAGGGAAA